GAAGTGATCCTAGTGGAGTTCCAGCTGTATATGGGATTATTTCCTCATTATCTGACAAATGAGGGCTAGTGACCTAAATCTCAGCAGTCTACTCAACTATGCCTATTATGGTCCTGTGATCACCCCCCCAAACATCTCCCTTCTACTCTGTTCCACCCCCAACCTCTCTCCTCCCAAATAAAGAATAACCAGTTTGGCAGGCTTTGGAAAAAAATTAAACATACACCCAGTACATGAATAATCAGGTGTCACAACCCCATTAGGACATTTAACACCTGTCTGACATTTAAATGCCATATCTGAGTTAAATATCTGTCACCACCATTGTTCCTGCCAGGCAGACATTTAACTCAGACATGCCAAACCCGCGCCAAAAACCCACAGAAATTAGGCTTGTTTTTGGCTTGTGAGTTGCTTGTTTGCTAGTTTTTGGCTTGTAGCTTCTTGCTTCTTTTTTTTTGATCAGCTCCCGACAAGCAGGGACAAGGGGGGAAAAGAGAGTCAGGAGTGCACAGTGGGCCCACCACAGTCCCAGACTGCACGCCAGGGGATCTAGTCATAGAGTGTAGGGGTTCCTAGGGATTGGCTTGTTTTGAAATGGGATTAGCTTGAGTTTTGGCTTATTGTGAAAATCGGGTTGTTTATTTACTGCATGAAACTTGGATTTTACTTATCCATAATTGGTTAGCAAAAGGTGCTTTTACTGGTATAGGAATATGATCCCAACCACTGGTATATGGCATTAGTCCTGGTACTTTTGAAAGACTCCTCCTCTGATAAGGAGCCCTGGGTGGCACTGGGTCCCTGGCGGCACTGTTGCTGCTCACCTCCCATTCAGCTGCATAAACCCGAATATACAATTCTTGTTTTGTACAGTGGTCTGAAAAGGCTGTGAAGCATGCACACAGAACCTGAGCCTATCCCAGGGGAACTCCCCCACGTGTTCTGAATATTTTCCTCTTACAGTTGTGTTTATAGCCATCATCACTCCAATGGAGACTATTTTGAAAAATCACTTCCTCCACCCAACTTCATTCCTGCATGCCCAGGGCAACATCAACAGCTTCATTAGTCATACAACATCCACAGCAGCATACATTTAAGCAGCAATGGGCAGACATGTATGATTGCCAATAGCTCCAGTGCTTAGCTAAATAAAAAGACACAAAGAAGGGTGGAGGTACAGTAATAGTGTACAAGTACTTAAGAGGTTTAATTTGACATTTACTAAGGCCTTGTCTATACTACCGCAGTAAGTCGACCTAAGTTACGCTACTCCAGCTACATGAATAACGAAGCTGGAGTCGATGTAGCTTAGGTCGACCTACTGCGGTGTCTATTCCGCACTTTGCCGACAGGAGACGCTCTCCCATCGACTTACCTGAATCTTCTCCGGTGGAGTACCGGAATCAACCGTAGAGTGCTCTGTGGTCGATTTACTGGGTCTACTGAAATCGACCCCTGGTAAGTGTAGACATGGCCTTAGAGTACAACTGTCAGTGAGAGGAGGAGTAACAAGAGTGGTACACACAGTATATATACTGGGCTAATAAAACTACTGTAGAACTCCCCTCTCCCGCCCCCTCCCCCCAAAATCCCCCACTCCCAAACCATTCTTTTCAATTCCTAATATTTCTCCCCATAATGTACATCAGGGCAATATATGTTGGACAGGGCACTATTTATTTCAGCACCTGTTACTGATACATTATTATTCAATGATGTAGCTCACAATTTTATTCATTAAGTGAACCAGGTTACTCAATATTTCCATGGGTAATCAACTATAATTAGTATTTTTCTTATCACCCAAAGCAGTTAAATGCAATGTATCAGAATTACAGCAGTTAGTGTAAATTGGGATTCCATTTCCCCCAATTCCCAATCTTATGTAGCACTATTCCTTGAAAAGTAAGGCATTGTCTACACTACAAAATTAAGTCGATCTAAGTTAGGTTGAAGTATAGCAACTGCAGTAATTACTGTGGTGATTCACGTCCACACTACGTCCCCTTTGTCAGTGGTGAGAGTCTTCACCAGGAACACTTTCACCAATTTAACTGTGTGGGGCACTGACAGCTGGAACCCCCTGTCCCCTCCCTGCATGGTGGCCTCCAGCTACCCTCCTATGGGGGTGGAGTTATTAGGTTGGTGTAGGGCGTGACTTATATCAATGGGAGCAACATTGTATCATAGACACTTACAGAGTTAGGTAAACGTAAGTTGCCTTATGGAAACCTAATTCTGTAGTGCAGACCAAACCTAAGGTAGAACAGCACATTAAGGGTGGCAGAATGTGGCTTACTCACTACTATCCACTCTGCAAATATAGTCTTGTTTTCTTCAAGGTACAGCTAAGGTACTAATCAGCATGATAACTGTTGTAGAATCTGGCCTGATACTAGTATTTGACTAGAGGGTTGAAAGTATTTTGAGTCGACAACTTCTGTTTTACCGAACAACATCGAACACTTCATCTTTTACTAGCACAGAAGCCATTATTTAAATTGTTTTGTGTATTTTAGTATCCTGAAAATTGGGAGCTGTACTGTGTTGTCCCTAATGTTCAACTAGAAATAATGTTCTTATTGAAGAAGAGGGCAATATAAACACAATTTTAATTAAGGTCAACGTGTACAAAAAGCTATTCGAATGAATACTAAATGAGGATATAAACAGCAACCATGACCTCAGTACACAATATATTTCATACCTCCCAGTTTAAGAAGCAGTAACTCTAAACTGTTCTTACTCCTTTGAGAATGAACTGGGAAAATTGACTATCACTATTTATTATGTGCCCCACATTGCTGTGATCTCCACTCAGTTTGTACTGTTGTGCTGAACTGTAAGGCTCATATATTCTGGAGAAGCTTGAATCTGAGGAAGTTCCTCCCATTTTTATTCCACGACACTACATTTTATTTTAGACCTTCCTTTTATTCTGCTCATTTACGATTCATGTTTGTGGGCAATAGTCTATCACTGGACTTTGGTAGAATGGATGACATAACTTTTTCAAGAACACCTGTTATATAGCGTTTTTGTGTTATCATTAATATGGCATCATGGAAAAAGATGCATCATTTATATAGAAGGATAATCAAAGAGATTGAAAACAAGTCATGTTAGAACACTCATTTTAAAGATTTTATTGTATCATAGTCACTTCAAATGTTGTGAAACAATTTTCTACAATCTTGAGCTTTTCTTCAGAAAGCAGGTTTTCCTGTTTTAGTTGTCCAATAAGAGCTTCCAGGGATTTGAGCCTACCTAAAGTTTTTCTTTCCTGTTTTTCAAGGAGTGTTATCTTAGAATGAAGCTTTGCAATTTTTTGGCAGAGATGATCCCTGTCTAGGTCTTGTCTGCAATATGAATGCTCAGTTTGTAATACTTCAGTTTCACCATAATTGTTTATATATGCAGATTTTTGAATTTCTATTTCTTCCATGTCTATGAACTCCTGTTTAATAGGCATGAAAGAACTACTTACCATCGAAGGCTCTTTAGAACACTCAGCAGGTACAATGATAGCAATGACAGATTCCTCATTTCCATTAAACTGTTCGATAGTTCGCGTGATTGTACTGAAAAAAACTGTGTTTTCACTCGGCTGTACTTCCACAGAGCAGACTGCAATATGTGAGTTAGGATTCTCAGCTAGATGGTCAATAATTGGTCCACCTGCATTTTTAAATTTCAAAGATGAATCCAGGTATTCAGGGTCTGTAACTTGCAAAACTGTGGCTGTACAACTTAAAAGATTCTCTACCGACGTATGAACATTACTTGCATCTATGTTCTGGACAGCTTCTGCCATTAAAACAGGTGTTTGTTGAATATGCTGCTCAGATGAACTAAGAATTATGGTGCCTGCTTGCAAGTTTTCTGTGTTCTGAAACGGCACTTTCTTTTGTGAAGGTTTGCTCAGGGTTGATAAGCAAATTGCTTCAGTTTTTTCATCTAGCCTTTCTGCAATTGTGACACTTTTCTTTGGTGAACAAGGCTCAAACGATGCAGATACATTATCTGACTCTACACACACACTGATTTCCTCCCCATCCTCTGTTTTTATCTCTTGTGGCTTGTGCTGAGAAGGGTCTTTTTCCTGGAGGAGAAATGACACCTTTTAACTATAACTACATATAATGCACAAAAGTTTCCTCATTCTGTAATGGGCTCTTGAGTAACTATTTTTTTGATAATCAATTTTTTTAAAGTATTGCTCAAAGATTAAACCAGTAATTTGCCAACAATTCATATTTATCTCCAATAAAATGTTTTCCTTAAACTTTGTATACCACCAGAGACATTCTCAAGTATTAGTCTAAAACTCTGTGTAAAATACTTTAATAAACCTGAAACTGTTTTATAATTCTTCATGTAAATTGATGACACATACAATAGAAGCACCAAGTTGACTTTCTCTGACAAGCTGGTTAGTTTCTCCTATTCTATGCCCAAACATGTTATTCAATACAAATTAATGAAGGATTATGCTGCTTTTGCATTACTGAAGCAGCAAAGCAGAAAATCCTGTTTTTTCCACCTAATGTAATTCAGTGGACTGATGGTTCTTTCAGACAACCGCCAAGCAACTTTACTTTCACAGAAATTTAGTACAATGGTAGAAAAGAAACTTAGATCTTCAGTGCATAAGTAACTACAGTGGGTTACATGGGTGTACGTGTGCATTCAGGCATATGTAGTATGCATGCATGTCCACACAGATTGATTTTTAAATATACAAGCAAGCATGGTGTTGAAAGTTTGAACACTTCTTAAGGATGGAGACATTTCTTTTATGACTCATGGTAAGTTAACAAGTGGAAAGACCTTACATTGATACTGCTTCTGTTTTTATCATCACTACTAAGGCTTGTCCTTCCCTGGCTACTCTCTCTTCTCCCCATCTACACAAATCACATCTTCCCCATGTTTAGGATTAGAATCTAAATAAGCTTTTTGATATGTTGGTCATTAATATAAAAATATACTAACGTTGTGTGGTATATTTTTTCAATAGGTTTGATTTTGAAGAGGGCAAGCTGTAGAAGTTGTAGTCATGTTAGGCCAGTAGACTAAGAATAAAAACAAAACAAAAAACCTGTAAGCAACTTTAACTTTGCTAACTAAATATAAAAATAAGACAAGCAAGTATTAATAAGAATGTGAGGACAGGACGTAAAAATGGTGTGTGGTGAAAAAAGACAAGTCATTCTAAAGTGTACATTCATAAAGATATGCCTAGTTCAGGCCACCCAAACTGTTGGCTAATCAAGCTGTTCAGTGTTTTCCATGTCCTTCATAGATAAGAAGGAAGTAGGAGTTCAGCAGAAAAGGACATTGGTTCCATTGCATTGCAATTGAGTTTTGTAACACACTTCAAAATGTAAAGGATTGAAAAAGTTATATAAATAGTAAAAGCAGTTTCCTTACCTGTAGTACTATCATCTCCAAAGTGGGTACCTAATGCTCAGTCAGTCCTAGAGATTTAAGAATACAGGGCATCTCCCTTCCTCTGATCTACCTGACGCTGAAACAGGGCTTCTTTGATTGAATTGCTGGCTCCTGCTGCGTCTGTTTAGAGAACTGAGAAAACACGCAGATTCTCCTGAAATTCTAACCTAAAGTCCTACCAGAACCACTGCTAGGTTGACGAGGGAGGGAGGGGAAAAAAAAAATCAAATCCCATCTGGGTAGAGCACTCACAAGTAGAGCTTTGAGGAACCCCTGTTTGTTTTGTATAGAGACATAAGACTGAGCCTCAATATATAGCTGCAGTACCTCAAACATGTGAGCAAGGGATATGGTTTAAGGGATAAAAACCCAAAACACACACAATCTCCAAAGCATGGAATGAAGGCCCATCACTATTTGACTGACTGAGCAGTGGGCATCCATACAGGAGCAGAGATATCCTTCATATATACATGTTTTCCTTAGGCTAAACACACATCTCAAGAGTTCTAGTGCCACACTGAGTGAGAGGATGCTTACCCAAAACCTGTTAGTAGAGCTAGGCATTGGGCCCTATGAAGGAGAATCTTAGCTTTCATTAAAAAACGTCCTAACCCTTGTCTTTGCCATGATAGCTTTAGAAACAAACACATGCCAATGTAAAATTATCACTAGTGTTGAAATGAGCAACCATCTGGGCTCCATTTCTGCAACATAGGATCTTAATTATTTTCCCATTCACATACATTTTTCATGTAAAAGGACAGTTAAGTTTGGGATGTGTTCTAAAGAATCATCTTGCATCTCTAGGAGTTCATGAGAGATGCACACTATACCCCAGACAGATTCTCCTATTAAAAAAAACAAAATCTGGGAGTCAGGACATAAGTGCCTAAGCACCTTTATGAATCTGACCTTCTGATTCTACAGTAAGTGGGGTGATGCAAGTGTCTAGAAAGGGAGAAGATGAATAGATCCTGCCGTTACCCGGAACAGCTGCCAATACAGTCAGTGAAATGAGCCTCCATGAGGTGCTGGGGAGGGGGAAGCATGCAATATTAAGAGGTATAGTGCCTTGGACAGAGGTGGAAATAGTAACTGTTTTTTTCCTTTGCCAGTGACAAGAGATGAATATAAAATTGATATGCTTTCCCCCTCCTTGTTTTGGGGATTCCCAAGACACAGTTTTATCCAGGGAATGTTTCATTTACTGCTGACTGGGAAGAAAATGTGAAGGGAAACTGTAGTTAAAATTTTGGCAGCATCACCTCAAAGTATTCGTATAGCTTTATAGATCAGGTATCTCTATGTAACATCTCCTCTATAAAGATATCGTGATTAGACTATGAACACAGATATTAAAAAAAGGAAGGTTATGCTTCTGCTGAATGCAAATCACTACCTCTACATTTAGAAACAAACTAATGTTTAAGCAGTAATTATTTGAGGCAAGAATCATCTTTTTGTTTTGTGTTGTACTGTGCCCAGCACAATGGGGTTCTGGACCATGACTAAGGTTTCTAGCAGCTATGGTAATACAGAGAATAATAATTTAATTCCATAAAGATTTTTAGATCATCCCAAAAAATTACTACTAGTATCATGAACTGCTGGATTTTCTCTCCATATTTTAAAGGAACTCATCATAGTTTTCATCCTAGAGCGTGAAAACCTGTTTACATTAAGTTCACCTGCAATTCAAGGAAACCTACACTTATTTCTGGAATTCATTTATTATATTTTAAATGTCAAAAGTCTGTGTTAAATGTTTTCTTTTTCAATGTTAAAGTAGCTAGACAGACACATATTTCAGTTTTATAAATTAAGCCACGATGGAGACTAAATACCCATCTCTGTACCCTGCCTCCAACACTTTTCTCTACTGGATGCTTCAGAGAAAAGCAGTAAACCCCTGTAGTCGCCTTCAAAACATTTATACTAAACAATACTACAACAGATGTGAGGCACTGGGTCTTTACCTAACCAGTTGTATGGGAAATGTCTTCATGACACAACATGGGGATGAGATAATAGAAGGTCGATGGTCCTTACAATTTTTACTCTGGCTATTTTAAAAGCAGATCCCAGTTGTTATTCATACAAAGTGTAAAACAATTCTGTGCCCATTACCATTTACAGGATGTAACCATTTTTTATACTTGTGTGTAAAAGGAATACCTGAGAAAGCAACTCATATTGGAAAATTTTAACTAAACAAGATTTGAGTAGAATATTTCTGAAAGAGTACATGAAGTATACTTAAGTTCTGAAAAACTTATGAAGAAGCTGATGATAACCCATTATGGTATATTATGCTGTATAAAGCAGTAACTACTTTGCAGGGATATGCCAATGAAATACATGGCAATGAAAAATAGCAATATTTTTATAATTTGAGCCTGGACTCCTGATCCGTGATTTTTACATTAGAGAGAGGAGAGTCAAGAAAGGGAAGACATACACATGCTGAAACTAAAAACATTTTAAAAAGCTAATGTTTTTATACCATATGAATACATTTACTGTTAATAAGAAGGCCCTAACAAAATTAGCTATTTGAAGCAAAGTAGTAGGTGTAAAAGAAACATTAGTATTTGGACAGAAATTACCTAACAGCAATACTTCCAAGATTGGGTCTCTCAATCAAAAGTATGAAACTATTGGATATTCAAAAGAAAAGTTTTCTGAGTATTACTTTGTATGTATGGTTTTGAAAATTATACTATACTAATATCCAGCCAACGCAGCTCTGTATTAAATAATAAAGTGACATATTACCTGATTATCAGGCAAAGAGAAAATAGTTGGTATTGCAGTATGTTTCAAATATCGAATTCCCCATCGCACATCAAGGGAGTCAGGGGTAAAATGGTCACTGCACAGGAGCTGGTGCTTACTGGGAGTCCATGTGTCACGTTTCATATTCCGCAACCATTTCTCAAGTCTTTCTTTATCGTGAAGTGGAAACCTGGTTTAAAAGATTCGCACAAAATTAGTTTTATACTTTTTTCAAATAAAATCTCTTCATCCCACTCCTAAGTCTTCCCTTACACAAGGATCTATCCTAGGTTTTATATAGCGCTTATTATCATGGCATACAAGTGTTAAATCTGGTAACCATGAAACTTACATCTAGATAATCATGTGCGGGGAAATCTTGGCTCCACTGAACTCAATGGCAAAACTCTCACGGATGTCAAAGGTGACATCCTGACCCCAAAATCATCTAATATGGGCTGATCCAGGAACCCTTGCTCAAAAAAACAGTTTCCACTGAAGGCCCTGGGAATACTTGCTTCAGTAGAAAAGTAGGAGGATGTGGTCCTTATTTTGTTTTAACAAATAAGCAAGCAATTCTCAAATTACCGGATTCCACCTATTACTTTAATTTTGTTTTCATTATATTTCTCTTAATCTATTTGAGCACATTCCTGAGTTTTGTTTTTTTTATTTGAAAAGCCACTCATTAGTTTGTTAAAAAAATTGTATACAATATAATAAGAAAAAAGTGTTTCTGTCTCACTCTCCTGAAACGTGAGATCTAGAAAGTGAAAGACTAAAGCTAACAAAAGGAAACTGACTGGGGTAATTTTTATCATTCAAATTAAGTGAAAAGGAAAAGGAAGCATAAACATTGGCAAAATTTGTTTAAAATTTATTTTTAAAATACTGTTATGCAAAGTGACATACAAACCCCAGGGGAAATAGAATGCAGTGGAGGGCTAAACAGAAACAATGTAAGCAAAGCCATGAAACTTGTCTAGTGAGTCAGTTTCCTGCATGCCACATCTGGAAGTTTATAGACCAACATTTTTAGGCAAAATCAGTATGTTATCAGAACAATCACTTTAAAAAAAAAAGTGAAGTATTTCCATGTACAATAACATTATCATTCAGCCCAACCTCTCAGTTCACATCTTTGACCAAAAAGACACTACAAGACACCAAAAAGGTTAGCATTCTCAGCTCCTTAAATATCTCTTTAGTTTTGACATGTAGCCAACTATAATACACATCAAATCACCTTCACACTCAAAGCACAACCTTAAGATTCCATGTTAAGGTATAAACGATAACAGGGTGTCCTGGGGAAGTGAAAAGTACTGTAGATATCAGATGTGGGGTTGGGATGAGTGGCAAAATTCATCAGATATTCCTGGCACCTGATGAAGACCTGTCTAGCCTAGAGCCTTTTTTGCAGAGCCCACATCATACCTTAATCCCAATGGGCAACCAGATCCCCAGCCTCCTTAGGCTTACGCTGACACAGACCCACTCCCCGAACCCCCTTCTACTTCCCAGCCGCTTTTAATAATGCTTTAGTTTTCGTTTAATGTTTATTTCCGTTCCTAGCTAAACACTGACCAGGCAGAACCTCTGTCCAAAGGCGCAGCAAGCCCCAAGCTGCCCTGGGCAATGAGCAGAGCGGGGTTGAGGAAGGGGAGCTGGGAACTCGATCGGGGAAGGGCGTAGTGCAGGTCCCTCCCCCAGCAGGGGTATAAGGAGGTTGAAGCACAGGGCCTAGAGCCCATGGACAGCACGTCCTGCGCCCCCGCTAGAGACCCCCAGCGAAAGCGTGGTGCGGCCTGGGCCCGAGGGAGGGCGCCCGGCGAGGCAGGCAAGGGAGAGGCCCCGCTCCCAGGGCGACGGGCCTAACCCGACGGGGTGCGATCGCGCCCTGGCGCTGCTGCCTCAGGATGGGAGAGCCCTGGGCTCCGGCGATGCGTCCCGGCCCGCCCGCCCGGCCGCCCCAGCCCACCGCCCCGGCCGGCCGGCTGACTGGCTCTCACGGGTAGAAGCTCAGCTTGCGCTGGTCCCTGGCGCTCTGGCCTCCCCGGTTCTTGCAGCAGGACGCGGCGCAGTATCGGGGCATAGCGGGCGCTGCAGGACCCAGCCCGGGGAAGGAACCATACACACAGGCAGCGGGGCGCGGGGATCGCCGGGACACCGGCAGCCACAGGGCGCTCGCCCCGACCGCAGCCCCACTTCCGCTTCCCCAGGCCTCTGACCCGGCCCATCAAGCGGAAGTGACGTGACTCCTCAGGGTTAACAACAGCCTTCCACGTGCACTAAAGCGGGGGTGTCACGTGAGATAGGGTAGCCAATAGCGTAGCGTTTCGTGTAGGATTCGCCCTAGAGTTACGGCCGCCGTGTTCGTCCGCTCAGAGCAGGGGGAGAAGAGCGCGCGGAGCAGCAGGTGAGTATAGTAGTGAGGCGGCCACAAGGCCCCGGCTTTTGCGTTGGGGGAGGGAGGCGGAGGGGCTGGTGCAGTGATGCGGGTGGGGGGTCTATTGGGGAGGGGGCCTGGGGGAGGGGGCGTCGGGATTTCTCTGCTCTTTGGCGTGGGATGTTTTTGTTTCAGGTCACTCCGATGTATCTCAGGTTCTCGGGTCTTGCTTTTTATTCTCTCCCCCGAAAGGAGGGTGTGTGAAGTGCTGAGCTCTCCTCTGTGTGGGGGCGTCTGTATTTGTGTGGTGCGGCACTGCTGCCTTGGCATTTGGACACTTATAACTTTTTTTTTACACGCTCGTGTCCAATCAGTATAATGAGGTTTAATTTGGCTGTGAGAAAGGTGCGCTGCGGGAATAGGCGATATCCTCCCCTCCCAGGCTTCAGTCACTTGTCTCCATGATGAATTCTCCAGAATAATAGTAACCCCCATAATTTTATTTTCCTGAAAGTTATTGGTTCGGAGGTCAGCAATTAATTGACCACATACAAACTGCAGTGATCTTTATAAGTTCCTTCTAGTAGCATGGCTGAGGATTCTAGCTTACTCCATAGCAAAGTGAACTGAGGCATGGGAGAGACAAATGATGATACAAGACTACTATATTTAAACTTGCAGTGGTAACCGCAGTTGAGTGAGAGCCTTTTCCACTTGTAAGGACTTTGTACTAGCTCGATGTCCACTAAATTGTAGTTACATTTAATTTAAGGCCTAAAATAGGATGGCTTTGTGTTGGGTTAAACCTGCCAGATTCCTTCCCTTTTTGTTTCAGTTTTCAAAAGAGTGGCAGGTATAGAGAAGGAAAGATCTCATTCTCCAGCACTGCTTACATTTTCACATTCTACAACATAGGTCTTAGTGTCTTGATAGAATTATATAAAAGACCTTTTATGCCCTTGTAATTGAGCTTTGTTCTTAAAACTTCTCTAGCCTTGTATTAATAGTTAGGTGGTGTTTGTAAGAGCTATCTCAAAAGGTCAAGCTGTTCCACTTGGTCAGTGCATTAAAAATTGTATGTAATTAGTATATTATTCATGGACTTCTGTATATGTAGATAGTGCTTTACAAACATAAGAGATGGTAACTATTTGTTCTCCATGTCCCCTGAAGGTAGGGCAAGAAGTAACAGGCTCAACCTGCAGCAAAGGAGATTTAGGCTAGATATTGGGAAAATCTTTCTCACTATAAAGGAAGATAAGATTTTGGACTAGGTTTCCAAAGGAGATTGTGGAATCCCCGTCATTGGAGGTTTTTAAGAACAGGCTTGATTAAAAACCAGTCAGGTGTAGTCTAGGTTTCCTTGGTCCTGTTTCCTTGGTCCTGCCTCAGCGCAGGGAGTTGGAGTTGATGACTTCTCAGGGTTTCTTCTAGCCCTATGTGTCTATGATTCTATTTGTTATAAAGCTCCTACTCATTTATCTTGAAATGCATAAACATGCTCAAAGTAAGATGATAGAAACAGGCTTTCAGGATTATGTATTTGCCACTAAGGGCCAAACATTTTAATTATGGATTGAAAATTGGCACTGAATATTCCCTTGCTGGCCTGTAATATTAATTTTAAAGAAAATGTCGCATTTAAAATGTATCCAACAAAGGTTTAAATACTTCTTATTTTGTGACCTTAAATTCTCTAGTGGCTCATTGACAAATGGGCCGAACTAAAATACTGAGGTCAGGTTCTCCCACTGATTCTCATTCAGAATCACAAAACTGTTTTTAAGGGATTGTGTCTGATAGCTAAAACCTAATAAGGATTTTTTAATTAAGAAAAAAATGTTAAAGGTAACACACTTTTTTTTTTTTAAGACCTACCTAAAACAGTTTAGAGCTCTCAACACTCCCATGTAAAGTTTTCAGCCAGATATGGCAACATTTTCATAACTAGTACATGAGGGAGGGAAAGTGAAACTTATCTGTCTTCTTTCAGTTTCCAAACTGAAAGAAAAGAAAGATAAGCAGAATAAACGGTGACATGCTCTTTGTTTATTTTAAAATGGTTGTTATAGTAAAGGTACTGATACTAACAGATGATAGTTTAATAAATTGAATTTAAATAAATATTTTGGTGCTGCCAAGAAAAAGATGCATCTATTTAACATAATGCCATGTTAGTAAATTCATATTGTAGTAAAGATACTACAGATATAAATATACTGTCAGATATTAATAGTTAGAGCTATCCTAATATACAGGACTTGCTAGTCTTTTGTGATAGCATTTTGTCAATTAAAATACTTTAAAACATTAGCTATTTTCAACATTGCTTTTGTGTAAATAAACAAAGTAAATAAAGTCTGAATAGCATGGGGATGTTGAAACAAGCTGATCATTGCATAAGGTATTATTAGAAATAGTATTTTCAGGAACTTTGTCTAAAACATTCTGAAGAACAGTCAGTTTATTCTGAACTGGGGTTTCTTTTAAAATATGGTACAACTTCAGTATTGTATTTTTCATATACAAATTAAAATGCTTTACAAATTCTATACAAGACAATAGACCGTATGTAGTATAAAACTGTTTTGCAGGAAAGAGTAGTTTAAAATAATTGAAATGAGTGTATTTGGTAATAATGCCACTATACAAGTAATAGAAGTTGAGAAGCTTAGGCAGAGCATAAAGATTTGAAGGCAGGAGTAGAGAGAGAGAGAGACAGGTAGTTTTTAGGAGGTGCAGGAGTGATTTCTTGCCCAACTGCCCTTCAGTAGTGGGAGTGGACAGAGGAGTCAGATGCCAGAATGAGCAGGGGTGCATAGAGTCTATCTCTGAGAGAATGGGGCAATCTTGTAAATAAGGAGGGCAGTTTTGAAAAGGATACTAGAATGAAGAGGAAGCCCATGGAGGTGTTTAGAGATGGGCCAGATGCACTTCTGTTTCTGGCTACTTATGTGAGAAGTGCAGCAGTGTTGGACACTTGCTGGCTTAGGGAAAGCTGATTTTTGGAAGTCTGTGGAAGAAGGCATTTTAGTGATCAAGGTGTTAAGAGATGATTGGGCAAATGTTTCAGCATACGTGGAATAAAAGGGTTTATCTGAGCAATGTAGTTGCAGTGGTAATAGGAAGATATGTATAGACAGGATATGGAGTTTGGGGTTCAAGATGAAGTCAAGGTTATGGACTGTAGTGACAAATTGGGGGTTAACTGAGGTGGGTGCTGGTCTTGCTCAAGAAAAGCATTTCTGATTTTATGGGATTGAGATGAAAAGCCACCTGTGAAGGGTGAACAGGCAGGAAACACTAAAAGTGTGGAAAAACATGTACAGATTAATGGTTTTCAGTGTCAAAGTGGTAAAGTTTGAGATTAATGAACAAGGGAAGAGAATAGATGTAAAAAAGAAGAAGGACTAAAAGCTTCCTGTACTTGTACTAATATAATTAGTATTGAGCAAGAGAGATGCCAGAATGAATTGTACACTTGGTATCTAAATACACTGATCAAAATACAGTCCCGTTTTGAGACTAGCCCTTAGAACACAGACACTTGGCATGCTACCAGCCAAGCAAATGTTTAGGAGGGCATTAGTTATATATATCTAGTCTCCAAAGGATTGGATGGTAGGATGTCAGAGCATACAAATAGTATTGAATATATTTTCAGTATTAGTAGTCACTGAAAAGATAAACTATTTTAATAGGCTGTTTAGGCCTGATTTTAAGTTCAAAACCAAAAGGAAGCCCTCTATTTATTTAAATACTAATGGACCTACAAATAAAGCTATGTGTAAAGTCTCGTCTTATTACAGCTAAATATTGGGTTTGATCTTTAGCCATGAATTTCTTTTTATGGATATATGCACTTCTTAAAATCTTTTGTAATCAAGGAAATCCACAAAACAGAATTTGTGCATAGCAAATGTTTTAGGGCCCATATGATCCAAAAACGATGACAGCCATCAAAGCCATACAGACAGAATTCTGACTTATTCAGGGGAAGTAGAATGGAGCTGTCATCAAGGCAAGAAATATATTGGACCCATGCTCAGATTCAACATTTTCCCTGTCTTGAGTTACAGTCAGTGATTTCCAGGGCAACTAGTGTGTCCACTCCCTCACCTAATCCTGCACTGAGATGATATATTATTTTCTGAGTATTCTTAGTGCAGTCCCCTGGCATTCTGCTGGCTGGATGAAATCCAACTCTATCTTTGGACAGTCTACGTCCCCGCTACATATCTTGAATGTCCCTTGGAATAAGGAGAAGCTTCCAAGTACTATATACTTAGGCTTCTTCTCAAAAGGATTCCTAGTATGCTGACTAACTGAATATTGCATGTGCCTGTTTTGTAATTGGTACTGTCTGTTTAACATGAAGCTTTTCTTTTTAAATGACTGATGTGTGTTGTGTACAGATTTATTGGTCAACATTTCCTTAACCTGGCACTAGCTTGTTTTTTAACTCCAAACTTTTTATCAGTATCTCTGATAGATTGTACAATTCTCGACTACCTGATAAATCAACTATTTTAATCCTCACAAATACTACACGCTGAAAGTTCCCCAGTGCACTTTGATCTTATGTTCTAAAGCTGTCTTGGGTCTTATGGAAAGCTTCAACCCAGAGTGAATTTCAAGAGCTCAGTTCACTATTGGCATATGGGAGGCTTACACATCTAACTCCCAATGATACTGATTATAAGTCCTCTGTATCAAGACTATTGTCGACCTTTTCGTTATCAAAACTGCTGTTAAAATTTAATTGATACCAAGTCCATCCCATGTTTTTGTTCACCTAGAAAGGAGAAACCTGCACTTTGTAATGGGACTCTGTGGCTAGTGATCTCTTTCTCCACCACAGTAACCTCTTAGGCCATTCAACTGGCCCTTTGAAATTAGGATAGTGGGGGTTGGAATTAAGACTCTTTTCTCTTTCTTGGAGGTCAGCACAAGGCCCTGTAGCAGCCCAGTGTATATGAAGAGAACGACTTGCTTGGGCTTCTGCTCAATAGAGGCAATGGTTCTTGCCAGTTCCTTCTCAACCTCTTTGGGTAGCTCTAGCACGGCACAGCTCTTTTCACTTTCTTCCGAATGCTGCTGCTCGCTATCTGGTGACAGACAAGTATTCCTAAAAATAGTATATGTAGCTGATGGACAAAATACAAAAAGCAAATACTGGGCCTTGTCATGAGAGTGGCTAGTTAGTGAAGCCCAAATGTTGGGACCAGGACTATGGGAGGTAGATGAGGCAAGTGTAAATGTGACCAAAAGAAGAAACTATCGGCATTTCTGTCGCAGGTGACAGCGAGGTGTGGAGATCCCCAAACCCATCATACTGTGTACTGAAAATTCTGCAGAAGGGAGATTCTCCAGCAAAAGTGAAATTAAACATGGTTCCATCTCTAATTGTTGCATGGTTCCTACTTTTAAGCATTATAGACTTACCTGTTTTAATTAGCATAGATGCAATTGAATTGTCTTAAGTTACTGCCTAACTTCAGAGCAAAAAATTGTGACCATTCATATTCAAGTATTTTTCTGTCTTTTCTAGGCGCTTCAGAAATGGCTACCACACAGTCTGTCTTCACATTTGCTCTCTGCATTTTAATGATAACTGAATTAATATTGGCTAGAGAAAGCTACTATGACATTTTAGGAGTTCCAAAAAATGCATCTGACCGCCAGATCAAGAAGGCATTTCACAAACTGGCCATGAAGTACCACCCAGACAAAAATAAGAGTCCTGGTGCAGAAGCAAAATTCAGAGAAATTGCAGAAGGTAATATAAATGAGGGCTATGAATTGTGTAAGTCTGTGGGCTTGAAAATGTCTGTCTATACTCGCTTAACTTTTCTATTGGGCTAAAAATTATACCAGTTTAGATATAGCAGGTTGTGTGTCATAGTCAGTTCTAAAAGAGAGCCACAAAAGTGTTCCTGGTCAAAGGCACCTATGACAGTATCTTTGTCTACCAGAACTAGAAATGTTCATTTCTGTGGTTGGTAGCTAGAAGTGTCTAGTCTTAAAATATGTCTGATTACTATTTTGATTCCCCCCCCCCCAGTTGAATTTTAACATGATTTCAGATAGAAACAAATACTTTAACATTTAGCCTTCAAATGGATCTTTCATCACGCATTTACTAGTGGCTAATTCTATTAAAATTGAAATGAGTGGCAGGGAGCAAAATAATAACTGGAAAGGGGGTTTTAAGTATCAGTGTCATAAATATAACCTTTTCAGTATGAATATATAATACCATAAAATATAATTGCAACTCCACTTTTCTCAGCGGTGTCTGTGAAACTGATATCAGTAGTTCCTCTTTTCATGTTCTGTAGGTGCTGTTATTGATTCTTTCTCTTTGTTTGTGTATATTAGTGAACGTTGTCATGGCAAAACAATGCATTATAATGGCCCTAGTCACACTTCTTTCTAACAGCAGAGTTAGAACTTTCTTTGTGTAGAGTATTGAAAGCCCTTTAAAAAAATTAACAAATAGAGGAACAGAAATATGGTTGAAAATGTCCTAACTAGGCAAGGCACATATGTTCAAGTCCAGTGTTCTCTTGTGAAGTAGAAATACTGACAGACACATACATTTTTACAAGCTGTGGTTCTGGGCCAAAGATCAGGTCGGAACTTTTCCTATTCTAAATAAACCTGGATTTGGGTATTGCGTGTATCATCAACTTGTTCATGCGAAGCACCACTAGTTTGTTTGTAAACCAACCTTGGTTCCCTACTGTTCTGTATTAAGCACAGTTTGGTTTAGAGTTGTGTGCTGCAGTACCTCTGCAACATAGCTTGTTCCCACTGCTTTGATAATTATCAAATGGAAAGTGTATTTGAAACCCATCACAGGACGACCGAGTTCCTGTGATAGGAAGGTGTTGAACAATTTAAAAGATGGGGAAAGAGCTTGGCTTGCCAAGTCTTTTTACATTTCCCCTTATTTCATTGCCATTTAACTGCTGTTCTTTAGTGCCTGGTGGTTAAAATTACAGGATACGTTTTGTCTTGACTTACTGCATGAGAACACTTATGTGGTTAATTTAGGATGACTGTTCAGCGAAGTTGTGGCTTACTTTCATTATACCTGTAATGAAGTTATCACTTTCACCTGTGCTTGTTATCACTGATGTGCTTGCTGCTTGAGAAAAAAGCGAATGTGATTTTGACAGGAAGATTTAAATCTGACTGTACATGAAATTCTGACCTAATTTCTAATTTCAATACTTCTACAGCATATGAAACGTTATCGGATGAGAATAAACGAAAAGAATATGACCAATTTGGCCATGGTGGAGGACAAGGAAATAATGGAAGCCCATTTCAACAGTCATTTAATTTCAATTTTGATGACTTGTTCAAAGATTTTGACTTTTTTGGTCAAAACCAAAACTCACGGTCGAAGAAGCATTTTGAAAATCACTTCCGGGGTCATCGGGAGGCTCACAGCAGGCAAAGACGTTCTTTCCAAGATTTCTCCTTTGGAGGTGGACTGTTTGATGATGTGTTTGAAGATATGGAAAAAATGTTTTCTTTCAGTGGCTTTGACAGTGCACACCAGCACACAGTACGAACTGATAGCAGATTCCATGGATCTAGCAAGCATTGTAGGACTGTCACTCAGCGCCGAGGAAACATGGTTACTACATACACAGACTGTTCTGGACAATAACGATTCCTTTTTCTTCCATATTTCTCTTCCCGTTTCCTCACCTTGATGATTTTCTTGTTTAGTTGCTAATATGGAACAGAAACTCTTCTCTGAACTGTCTGATAAACTATTAAAGTATTTAATGTAATTGCAGTAAAGAAATTCAGTTAAACTAATTCTTGCAACTGAAACAACATGCAGCAAAGTGGGAGATGAGTGCCTCGTTATCTGTCTAGAAAGGGTGTGTGTGTGGGGAAATAAATCCCATATCATAAAACAACATAAATGTTTACTAAATTGAAATATATTTCAATCTTTTAACATATGAAGAGGTTTTTTTAATATACTCTTACCTTAATGTGACTTTTGTCTATACCCCTGGTAGGATGTTTGACTTACTGATGCATGTATAGCCACGTGAGTTAAACTAACTTATTATGAAGTGTTACACTTAAAACTTCCTTTTTTTTTAAATTATCCTTATAGACTAGACTTGCAGTATTTAGCTGCTGTAGACAACGTGGGAACTGTGTATAATTCACACACAATACAGCAGTGGAAATTTAGCTCATCTGCATTTTAACTTGCATGATCAGTTCTAGAAATGTGAATGTAGAACATCTTTAAAACCGTGAAATGAACAGTGTAAGGAACCATTGCCTGGAGTTTAGAAGTTTGTTTGTATTTCAAAATGTCCTTTCATTGGCCACAAGCCTGTAAAGACTTTAGCATGAGCATAACTGTACATATGTGAGTTGTCTGACTCCAGTGGGACTACTTTTGTGTGTAAAGTTATGTACGTGTAAGTCTTTGTAGGATCCTGGACGTTATCTTCTAAAAACTAAATATGAGAACCTGTATTATTGCAGTACATACTTACTGTTTAGTTATTTCGCCCTGGAAAATGGAGTAGTGAAATTTTTACTTTTTAAATTCTCATGATGCTATAGTGAACTTTAAACTAAGTAAAATTAGATCCCTGTGCCTGATGTGACTTGTAGGTCAATCAAGTACATTTTTTGTAGTAAATAGATCTGGAAACTCCACATCGCAGATTTCTTCATTTAAAAGAAGTATTGGCCCAGCTCCACAACTTGAGAGGTAAACTCTTCTCAAAGTGAATAAACAGCAAAATTGAAAGTTAGACTTTTTGTGGTATTTGTTTAGTAACATTTGGCAACTTGAGTCTGCTGTAGTGGTGGCATCATACTAAAGTTGTCATTTGCTATACAGCCATCAATGAAGTCCATAAGTCAATATAAACTGGAAGGAAAATCCTCAGTATTCAAATGTCACCCTAATAGATCTCTACATCAGTCCTTGAAGATTTTCTTTGAGTATTAATATAGGACTGGCTGGGCTTCCCTGTAGTCACTGTATCAAACTGCATCTTTTCAGTAAGATGGCTGCCACACACAATTGAGAATTGCCAGTTGTAACTTAAACTAATTTTTAGAAATACATTTAACTTAATTTATGTGAAAACTTACCTTTTACGTTGATTGAGTAAACAAATTTAGTGCAGGCTTCTCTAAGTTGCAGTGTCCTAAATAGGTTTCATCTGTTTAAAAAGCTCTAGACTAATTTTATTATAAGGAAGAGACTTTGCCCTTTAGCTCTCATTTAATATTCCTCAGCTACATCCTCACTCATCGTGCTAAGCTTCCCACGACCGTCAATATTGTCTTTTGTTAAATTTCACTCACCTAGAAGTCTAGAAAGGATTTTTGTTATATTAAGTGCTTTCTCTTTCATCCTTTGTCTACTTTATTTATAAATTGACTAATACCTCATATTCTGTCTTTATAAAAAGCCAGTAATTTGTGAAACCTTGTCAGAATGTGCAATATTCTTATGGTAGAAAGAAATGTGCTTTTGTTTTTTTGTGCAAGTAGATTTTAATTCTGTTGTGTACGTTAATGTAAATGTCTGCACTTTTTCCATAACATATTCCATATGGATATTAATCCTATGGATAAATTTAAGCAAAAATAGCACCTGTCATTCATACAACATGGGTATGTAAGTAAACAAATATTTACAACTTGAGTGCGCTCTTGTAAATTATTTTTTCCCACAGCATCAAGATTAGTACTGTTTGGGGAAAAAGCCTCCTTTTCCCTTGGAGAAAAATTGTACACACTAAATGTTGGCATAAGAAGGGCATGCCAGCAAAATATATTCAGGTTGTATATCTCTGAAAGCTCATTAATGGTGTAGACTGCTAAAACTCATCCAGGTAAGCTACATCTTAGTAAGGAAGGTGTACAAGATTTTTTATTTATTTATTTATTTAAAGTGGAAAGACTAATAATTTATAAACCACATTCTAAGGAGTTCCGGTTCTGTTGATTTCTCATGTGCTTGAAGTTCCCTACCAGAACTAGGCTTCCACTAAATTCCTTCTCTCTCTAGCAGGGCCTGAGCTCTTTCTTTTGGCTGTTGACCTAGCCCTCTTGCCACGGAGAGACCTTTACCCCCAAATTCTCCACCTACCTCAGAATAAAACAAACGAAAACTATCCTGATTGATTGCATGTGGTACACTTGAAACGGGCAGCTCATTTACCCCTCTTACAACAACAACAACAACAACAACAACAACAAATCCACCCTCCCTGTTTAGTAGCCAATTGCAAGCAACTGTTGCACTGTTTCCCAGGAAACAGCTGAAGGTCAGAGGTCCTTTCCCCGGTTTAAGACTCCAATTTCTGAGGATGCGCCAAACTGCTGAGAACCGCTAGAGCATGTCCACTTTCCTCAGCTCTCAAAAGTCAATTTGTGAAACAGTCAACCACACAACTGATGTTGCTAATGCCAAGTGGATACCACTTTAACAAAACAGCCTAGTTTAGCTTACTCAATTCCACATTCACTAAATAATATCTACTTGTCCTAAGAAACATGTCTAAGTCTTCAAACGTCCCATAATTACAGGACTTTTCAAAACAACAAATTTCACCTACATGGGTTCTTAAGGAGGAAAAACCCCAAAAAAGGATTAACAGCTTGGTGGAGTGGGCATAGAATGACTGGGGATGGAAGAGAATTGATAGGGAAGAGAACTAATGGATTGGGGAAGCACTGGTAGAATATTGGAAATGGGGGACTGATGGATTTTTGGGGATGGTTTGTATTAAAGTGGCCACTTTAAATTTGACTTACATGTGTAAATTGTTCAGACTTTTTAATGAACCAATTCAGGCACGACTGCCCATACTCCTTCCTCAACAAGGCTGCTGTTAGGTAGCCTTTCAGAACAGAAGCTTGTGAAACATGCTGATCACTTATTCAGAGCTCTTGCACGTTCTTTTCCTATTTAATTATAGCATCTGCTTTGTGGCATGCTCTGTAACTGAAGTCCTGATATAACCTTACAAAACCCTGACTTCGGTTACTCAGAAGTTTCTCCAGTTCTCGTAAGAACTGGAGAAACTTCTGAGTAACCGAAGTCAGGGTTTTGGGCTGAAGCTTTTATGCTTGGTCTCTCTCTCTCTTATGGAAAATCTATCCATTCATTTGTGTTATGTGAGCATGAAAACTACATTTTTGTACTTTATTAAAAAAAAAGTTAACACTTTTGGATGAGCTCAAATGGCAGAGCTTTAAAACGTATGTGAAAAGCTAATGCTTTATTCACAAATTCATATTTCATTTCAGTTTTTACTTTTGGAACAATAGCTAGCAGAGATAAAGGTAGTGTAAACTTATTTAGGATGCTATTATATTAAATCTATGGGAACATAGTTTCATGGATGCACTTTTTTAAGAAAGTGCTTGCTAAAAGCCAGATTGAAATGGTTTATATGGACACAGTGGGCAACATACTCCTGTCCTATGAAAAGATCAATGGGATAGTGGTTGGGGAAATCAGTGATCTTTTCACTTCGGAGTTTCCTTGGTATGCTTCCCTTGTATATGTGTGGTACTCCTGTTAGAGTAAAAGGATCATGACTAGGAACCACTCAGTTTTAAGAGATTGCAGGGAATCCAGGTTCCATTCTTTCATATTCCTCACTTGGGGACATGGGTGCTCCTGCACCCCCAGCATTGAAGTGATTTACAGTTTGGTGCAATGGCTCTCAGCACCCTCACTATACAAATTGTTCCAGTCCCCCTGCTTGGGGAGGGAAGGAAGGGAAAATGAAGATGTCTCCTGGCCCCATCATAATATTCCTATAGCTCCTTTCCCACTAAAAATGCAGTTCCCTGGGGAATCTCTTTCACTGGCTCTGTATCCTGCAGCCTGTGCTGTACTTACCTCCTCTGGAAGCTCAGAGGCAGCTACTGCTGCTTCCACCAACTGTAATTGTGCATGGATTTCCAGTAAAAACTCATGCAGTGTGGAAGGGCACATACATTGAAAAGAGGTTATTTCTTAGCTTCATTGTCTCCTGCTGTTGGTGGGTTACCAAGCTGAGATGCTCTGGGGAATGTACTTTGGAAGTGCTGTTGCTGCTCCTCACTTCTTTCTTGTGTGCTTGGGAGTTGTTCTGACCCATTTACACTTAAATAGTCTCTCCCATGTGTGTCTGTGCTGGAAATCTTTATATGAAGATCCTTGGCTTGTGTAAAATAGCTGTCAATGCAATCATGCTGATTTACAGTGGCAGAGGATCTGGGCCTTGTTCTGCTTGTGATTGTATGCATTCTGGGCCTGATCCTGAGAGATGAGGAGCATCTGTAACTCCCACTGGAGAGAGACTGGCAGTAAAACCCTAATCTGGCAGATGAAGCCAGATGCAATATACCTGTCCCACTGGGTGGCAGAAAATCCAAATTATTTCCTTGACATGGATGTGTTTCTAAATGCTTTTAAAGTGGGGTGTGAATTGAGCTAAAAGGGGTAGGGTGACATAGTATGGTACCTAGCTCTACTACTGTCTAGGACATTTTCACCTTTATAGACAAAGAGGACTATAAAGATTAAGGGTGATTAAACTTTTTCAACAAAGCTTGTTTACAACTGACCCCTGAAGTATATAGGAGAAGCAGGGAGTTCAGAAAAAAGGGGATAAGACCTATACTGTGGCTTCACTTCAAGTGAGGCGGTATGTAAGAGGGGTTCCAAGGCCTTCCTGTGCAGCTGCAGTAGGCACTATGCCCCACTATTAACACACGTCCATCAGGGAGAAGGATCCCACAAGGAGTGCGTGATCCATCACGTCAGTGGGGACCAGAGCCAGCAAGAGGGTGAAGGGGCCAGGCATGTGTCACAGCCAGCTCCTGCTGACACCCTCTGCTTCAGCAGCATACTGAGTTCCTTGAGCTGGTCACCTGGCAGCCCTGCCCCATTCACTCACCCAGCATCTTGGTGTGCCTCACAGGCACCCCTTGCCTGGGACCAAAGGAAGGGCTTTGGGACTGCCAATGCTGGGCAGAGGCAGTTGCTCGGGCTGGGCCTGTGCATTAACCTTGATGGTCCCAATCACTCCCCCACCGAACCCCGATCTCTGGGGGTAGAGGGGTGGGGCTGATACTGCAGGGGGCTTGACAGCTGTGAATTGTAGGGTGCGGAGGCTTGGAGCAGGAACAGCCTTGAACCATATAGCCTCATCCAGCTGCCATGGGAGCCATTGCCTTTCGGCACCGGCTCCTTGCCCAACACCTGATGGCTCTGCTTCACCCTCTGCCACCTGCCAGGACCTTTGGGCTCCTCGTGGGGGGGGGGGGGAGAAAGGGGGCATCACCAGCCACCACTCTGCCAACATATACAGTTTTGGGAGTGCAATGCCCCCCCATCACCCTCAACTCTGCCCATTGCAGGCCACCTGGGACTGTGGTGGGCCACAGCCCACAGTGTGGGAATCCCAAACATAAGAAAATGGGGGTTGGTTGCGGGGTTACCATGGTCAATGAGGCCTGTACATTAATGTGTTTAGAACAATTCTATAAATTTTGCCAGTGAAACCTAAAATTGTGGTTAATGGATAAAGATCCTAGGGATGTAACTGTAACGGAAATTGGCAGATCCTTATGTGGATAGTCAACCTGGGTTTGATAGAATGGGATCAGAGAACAGGGATCAGGCCCAGGCAGAGACCCACCCTGAGGGGAGTCGTCACCTTGGCATAACCCTGGGACATCCGGGGAAAAACGAAGTTCCGTATGCAGCCAGCGAGGTCACTTTGCCTGGGATTGCTTATTCCGCCCACTAAGCCCCAGTGCAGTGCTGGAAAGGCTAGCTGCACCCAAACCTCACAGAATTAACCAAGTGTCTGAATCACCAGAGGGAGGGAGTCACACAGTCATTCCATTGATGGCACACACTGTTCATATGAGCCACTCACACCCCAAACCACTGCCCGCAAGTCATGCTTCACCCTTCTGCCAGTGGGAGAGGAAGGTGGTGGTTAATAGGGAGACATTCTCTTGATGGAGAGATACTGGGGCTGCTAAGACTAGAGTTAGGCCCCATGTCATTTAAACCCTATCGAATGCTCCCTGGGTGTGAAATCTGGGTTAAAGTTCCTGGTGTAAAAGCCTTTGAATAGAAATCTGTGCTGTAAGGAGAGCAGCCCCAGGAAGGCTGTAGGTGTATTGTTACGTATTCCAGTTCTTTGCTTTGGGGGAATGAATGATATCACTTTAAAAGTAGAAGAGGGGAATCAGATGCCCTCAGTTAGCTCCAGACCTGCAAGGGACTGTTAGCCAAAATGCAAATGGGGCAGCTGACAGGGAGGAGAGGACGTGTGTTCCCCTGCCAGTATCCCAGAGGAATTGGTCTCTTTCCAGTGCATACAATCACTTCCGGGCAGGGGGAGTTAGACTCCTTCTCTGGCCTGACCTGCAAGGTGGTGAGGCAGAGAAAGGAATTTGGCTATGCGTGGAACTTGAGGAATCTCCTTTGCTTGACCTCACTGCTATTAAAAACAGTCCATGGTCAAGAGCCGCTTCACAGGGAAGCAGCCCTGCCTCATTTTCTCCCTTTGGTCCAAAGAATTGCTGCTTGTAATACTTGCAGAGGGAGTAGGAAACCGCAAGCCATCATTGGGACTGCTAACCCCTTAAGGGACAAAAGGGACACCTCACATGCCTCCTAGAAACTGG